TCGTTTTTTTGCATAAAATACTGCGGGGAACAAATGGCAGTCCAGTTGTCCGGCTGAACAAAAAAGCTCTTAACCTAATCACTACGCTCAATCATATTCAAGCAATGCTTACAATAAGTAGATACCGTACAAAATCTATTCACATCGATCAGTTTGATCGGAAAATTATACTTTTTAATTACAAAATAGTTGACTATTCGGAGTGAGCTAACTTTTTTTCTTTGGAGGAATTTTGAGAATGGAAGAGTGAACAAAGACTTAGACAGTGGTAGTAGCGTGTGATGAAGTTTTGTGAACAAGGGGCACCGATTCGGCAGTATCCTCCTCAAACTCCCGGCGATTACTGCTGCTGCTGCTCTTGTGATGATGCCCTGAATGCTTCACTGTATTCATCACAATTGGCTGAGCTCGCTGTTCGTCTGAAGATAAAAACAATCATACCTTCTGCAGCAAGTGACTAGCAAAATCCCCCCATAATTTAAAGATTAATGCGCTACAGTGAAAATTACATTGCAGTGAAACAATATCGAATATCTGTAGCAAAAAGAATTACACATTATAAAGAAAATAAAAGTAATACTAATCATACTGGCTGGCATGCCAAATGATAAAGTGCGAAAATCCCATGCTAAAGCTCAGGTCCATCGGTGAGACAACCTCCACGATCTATTCATTCATTTCGATGATAAATTAGAGCTCGCACATTTTGACAGGATTTCTTCGTCCAAGTAACGATTGAAAGAAAAAGTCATCTACAGCTTTTCGACCGAGTGGCTGCTATAGATATACATACTGCTATTCATGCTACTTCCGAATGACACTGCTTTTTTAAGCACGGCGAATTACAAAGAGGCTTTATTTTTTTTTTAATTTTGTTAATTAAAAAATATGTCTAATATGGGATTTAGAATGAGCAGCTGAGTTAATCACGTGGGATAAAATGAAAAATAAAAAAAGAAAAAAAAACAATGTGTAAAAAGATGGTTTCCACACTGGCATGCATGTTACTGCTAATCTGAGCTGTTCTTAAGCCAGATATCAAAGGTTCGACCCAGCCAGTAAAACAAATAATTTCGCTCTGAACCGTTTACTCATTTTGACAGTAAACTGGTAGTGACATGTATAACAGAGAGAGAGAGAAAAAAAAGGAGCTTCTAAGCAATCCTCTGGGGAAAGAGAGGGAGAACTATCGAAAGCCAGTCCAGTGGATGATTGCTGCTGGCATTTGCTACCACTTCGATTGTTCCCGAATATTTACGCCTTTCACTTGAGCGGCTACGTAAAGATATGAGAAGAACCCGCAACAGAGAGAGATAGTGGAATTCAGTGTTGCATCAACGGTAGCACCGCGCAGCTGCTCGAAGTATCAAAATAAATGCAGAGCATAATAACACAGATTGCGATATACACAGTTTGAAGAGATGAAGTGCCGGCATACGGAACAGTTAGTCCATCCAGCACACATTGTCGAAGGTAAAGGCAATCAAACAGCCACCCAATGACATAATGAAATTGAGAAGGAAGGTTCGACTTAAATATCCCATGTCGAATATGCTAATGCCCACGGGAGGGGGATTAAGAGAGAGTATGTTAGAATATGCAATATAAGCAATATGACATGTTCATCTCATACGTATTGAGAATATGTAAGAATGTTTGTCTGTATTTCCATTCCTCAGTTTCTTGACTGGGCTAGACGCCTTATAAATATCTCTAGACATAAAAAAAAATTTGATACTGTCAACTAGAACGCTGTGTTCTAAGATTTTGCTTCAGGAACCGATCGGTACTTAGTAGATTCATCTATCCTGATGATGTAGGAATTAAAAACTTAGTAAGTTATTTTCATGAACGTTGCCTCCTCATAATTTACATAGAATTACTACCCGCCTCATATGTTAGTCTCCTCCTCTTGCATCTGCTCCATCGCTTTTATTACTTTCATGCTATTACACTTTCTCTTCTTCTCTTTCACTTATCCTTCTTGCAAATTAG